AGGTCAGTGGATCTTTAGTAAATGACATCGATAAAAACTAAATTCATTCGCTAGAATATTCATTGGACTTTTGGTTCTGATATACCACATCGACATTCCTGAGAGTATGCTCGAATTGAGAGCTTGTTGAATAAAAGTCATTTGTGGTTACCAGAACTAACATCTTTGCTAAAGTTTCTTTATATAGAACTCGCCTAAGAACAACGATTCTGTGTAGCTAGAGACCACGTAAAATATAACGATGATATGCGCGTATGGTTCAAAACTGTATAGTGATCGCCATTTTGGTCACCAGGCTGAAGACCTTTTAGAGTCGCGAGGATATCGAATTTTTTTGACTATATCTTTGTTAAAACAAATAACACTGATAATCAATTACTTAGAAAGTATTTTTCTGAAGGACTGGTGACCACAACTTCCAAGTGAGCAGATCTAATATATGTTCTCAAACATTTGATCGAACTGAGGCCCATGAGTACAAAAGTCTATGACTACTCTTGCTGTTATAAACATTTCAATAAAGTTTATGTAACTGTACAAAACTTATCTTAGGCCTACTCACTTGGAAGCTGTGCTCACCAGTGCTTCAGAAAAATACTTTCTAAGTAATTGATCATCAGTGTTATTTGTTTTGACAAATATATGGTCAAACAAATTCGATATCTTCGCGACTCTAAAAGGTTTTGAACCTGGTAACCAGAATGGTGACCACCATACAGTTTCGAACTATACATACGTGTGATCTTAATATTTTGTTTCAGTCACCTGAAGCGTTCCCAAATCCTAATTTACGGAGGTGGTACGCGAGACGAAGCATGAAGGTCGATTTTTTAAACGCTCGCGGCATACACATACTGTCAGATATGCTACGGAAAAATCCCCAAATGAAAATATCCCCGAAAAAAAAAATCCCCAGCTGATCATCAGTTTTCAGATTTTACCAGCATCTACCCCACATGGGGGTTTTATTTGGGATGCATCTGGCGTAACCAGATTCGGGGTAAACGATAGACATTCGTTTCAAGTAGAACTCAACGAGCCCCATCTAGTGGTATGCTCACTTTTTCTATACCTCGAGTTTTCATTCTTAGGCTACCAGTAACGGCCGTACTGATCCGAAAATCCAAAGTTGGGACTGGGTCGCAACTGAGCATACCACTAGATAGAGCTCGCGGAGTTCTACTTGAAAAAAGGTTTGCAACGCAACCCTCGACCAACACCCAAAACCTTTATTCCACCATGGTGCGCACCCC